AGGATCTCCTCACCCTCTGAATTGTCCTCTTTAGCCTCCCACTGGATGCCTTCCTTCTCCTGCAGTAAAGGACCAGAGTCAGATCACCACCACCCCCCACCCACCCAAATCAGAACCACACCCATCATTCTTTTGAATGCTTCCCAAAGTCCACACCAGGAACACCACCCAGGCCCAAAAAACCCCCATCATCCCACCCTTCCTCTCAAGGGTTCCAAAGGGCCACACAATGGCCAGGTACTCACGCAGTGTGGACAGCTCCACTTGCCCTCAGGAGCCTTCTCCATATCCGGATCCAGGCAGACCATGTGGTAAGCTCGGGGACAGGTATCACACAGGATGATCTCACCGCCTTGCTGGCACACCTCGCAATAGTCCTGGTGGTCTGTCTCATAACCATCCACAGCAGTCACCTCCTCCTCGCCTGGGCAAGGAAGAGGGAAAGCCCAGTTATTAGAAAAAAACTACCTCCCCCCGCCCCCTCTAAAATAAACTCAACCCTGATCTCCTTAGGGAGATTCTTCCCCAATCATTCCCACCCTATCCCATTCACACACAGACACAAAAAAGAAACACACCTTTCTTTTTCTTTTTAGTGGTTCGGAGTTTCTTGCGGCTGCGGCTACTGCGGCTGGTGGAACCGTCAGAAACAGAATAGCTATTGATACTGGCATCATCGAAGTCAGATTCCACATCTAAGTCATCATCCTCACTCTGGCAGAATGAAAAGAAAGTAAGTTAGAGGTTGAAGCCAAGGGAAAGGAGAATGCTAGAGAAGGGATCACTCTCTTACTAAGGGTGCTAGAACCCCAGCCAGGACAGTCAAGTAAGAAGCCTAGTCACCTTGTTGTGGAGCCAACTGTCCCCATTCTTACATGCCTACTATAAAGGCTAGACTCTGACATAAAGTAACATCATTATTAGATAAGACACCCTCACCAAAGGGATGGGTTGGGCTCTCACCGAGGATCTCTTACGCTTAGAACCAAAACCTCCCAGCTTGATTTTCAGGGGAGCTACTTTCTTAGGTTTAGGCTTCTTGGCATCAGGTACACGAGGGCTGCCCTTTGGCTTCCTCCGAGCATTGGGACCTAAAAATCAGAAAAGCACAAGTAAGATCGTATAATCCAAATGCATGACAAGGTAGAAGATGGGGAAGATGATAAAATATTCTCCACCTAAGCTGGTTTCCCCATGTTCAGCTTCCCAAACCTCCTAAATCCAGGACTCATTTCTCCCTCACACTCTATCTTTAGGCTAACAGAGCAGCACCCCCATGCTTCTTCTAAGTTCAACATCCCAAGCCCATGTCAGTCCCGCCTTGCACTGGGTCCCATTTCACCTTTGCCCTCCTTGGTCTTGGCCTTGCGGATAGGGACCTCCACCGGGGGAGGAGGTGGTGCAACTTCAGTGGCCGTCACCATGCTCTCCACCACAGCCACCGCTGCTGCTGCTGCTGCCGCCACTGAAGCCCCAGAACTGCCTTTGAAGGGATTGTTGGTGCTGAACTCACGCCACTTTGCACCCAAAACCATCATCATTTTGGAGACAGCAATCTTGGGATTTTTGGCAGCAATGAGGGGTCTGGGGGACAAATGGACAAGAACGACAAAGTGAAAAGAAGTTTAAGAATAAAAGAGAGAGAAAGAGAAGTGAGAAGAGATCATACAAGCACTCTCCTCTCCCAGGCCCAAGACCCTCTTGTTTACCGGACAAACTGGCTGAAGGCCTTGTAGTTGGTGAGGGTACGATAATCCTCCTCTGAGAACACATGGTCAATGTCTTCCATGCCCCAGTCTTCTAGGAGCTGAGCAGATGATTTAGGCTCCTGCAGAGAGAGCAAGGTCAAAGACCTGACACCTAGTACCCACACTTGCTAAAGGGAATCTGAGCTGAGATGGAAGGCTTGCAAGACCAGGGAAGAAGAGCAAAGAGAAAATCATTTCAAACGGGGGGGAGAAGGGCACTAAGGGGCAGGGCATTATCTGGGAGATAGAAGGACAGAGGTGGACAGCAAGCACAGAGGAAAGGACAGAGGTCCAGGCACCTTTGAATCATCGTCATCGTCATCCTCTTCTTCCTCTTCCTTCCGCTTGGATTTGCTCTTCTTTTCTTTCTTAGGTCCAAGCTTCTTCTTCTTCTTCTTGCCAGGGGTATAGTCGCTGCCCTCACTGTCTGAGCGAAGAGCCACCTCTTCCTCCTCCTCCACAAACTCCGGCCCCTCCCCAGAGCTGTCCCCCAGCTGCCGGCATAAGAGCATACGCTGGAGCAGGGAAGGGGGAGAGGGAGAGGGAGACAGACACACACATGCTACACACATGCTGACCTCAGGACAGCCCTGAGGCTCATCCCCAGGGCTGAGGACCTCAGGACCTGGCCCACCATTCTAGAAGAAGAAACAAATGCCCCTCCTACCCCTCGACCATTCTCAGAGCTGCTCCCTTCTTCTTATTATTCCCCAAAACATCCAGTCACCCACTCACCTCCTTTTTTTGGCGCTTGCTCTTAGGGATTTTAGGGTCCCGAGGTTTCTTAGGCTTTTTCTTCTTCTTGAGCTTTGGAGTCTCTGCTTCTGACAAATCCTCTTCTGGGTCCTCTTCATTTTCTACATATATTTGGCAGAGAAAGACAGGTAGAGAAAAGATCAATAGCAAAAGGTTAGAGCCTAATCCAGAGGCTTTAGACTTTATTCCCCACCTCTTGTCCCAGATTCCACTGAAGAGAACTGCTATACTCTCCACAGAAGGAAGCTGATACTCAGGACAAAAACAGACAAAGAGAGAGCTGTATATACCCGAAATAGGCCTGCCAGGCCAGACCAGGCCCACCTTGGGCAGCTGTCCAGACCCCTGCCTCCTTTCCCTCATCTCTAACAGGAGTCCTCTATATGTTCACCAGTGCAGCTCCAGCAAGCTGCTTAGAATTAACCAAATAAGAGAAATATATCTAGCCCTCCTCTAACTGCCCACCAAATATTCTACAAAGCAAGGAATGAAAATGAAAGAGCCTATCAGTGCAGGGGGCCCAGAAACCACACCCTTGACTACCCACTCTGGGTCATCACTGCTCAAAACCACCAGAATCCTCAAGCCCCAGGTTCAGTTGTCCGCCCAATATCACACCCACTCCCAAACATGATTTCCTTTCCCCATCTCCAGCTCTACTGTTCCTCCCCAGCTTCTCCTGGGTCAGTAGCCTCTTCTCCCCAGGGGCCCAAATCAGCCCAGCTGTCACCATCTCCTCCACACACACCCCCATCCTCCTCCCATCTGGCTCCACCTCCTTCCCTGGCTGGGAGCACACACAAAGCCTAGGGTAATACTGAGAGCTCCTGGGCAGGGCTAGGTGGGAAGGGGCACAGGGGGAGGAGAAGGCCAGGAGCAGCTTCCTTTGTAACTAACACACATTCACACCAACTCCCTCCTCCCTCCTCTCTCTCCTTCTTCCTAAGCCACCCCCGCCCTGGGAGGCGGGAGTGGAGAAGGGAGTGGAGAGAAGGAGGGAGTGCCTCACCCACTGAGGAGAGGGAAAATGGCTCCTGACCGCAGAAGCCAGCCCAGGGCACCCAGCTGCCAACATAGGACAGGAAGTAGCAGGGGAGAGGGGGTTGGGTTGAGAGAGGTAGCCGAGGAAAGACTACCCTCACAAGACTTCCCAAATTGCTACCTGGCCCCAGGTCCACATACCACTTCTCCTAACACCTATTTTGGGATGACACAGTTCTCAACAAGCCACTTTAATGTCCTAGGCAAGGAAACCCAAGACAAACATGAAGGGTAATACTACAAGAAAGACTGGGTTACTGCCTCAATCAGAATTATTTTTCCAAACATCAGAACTAAGATTTAACAAAGGCTCAGTGGAGCTGTGGTCACAGCATACAACTTTCTTGAATTTTTGATACCCAAAAAATTTAGCTTGAGGAATGGGAGGCCAGAAGAAGTCTCCACAACTCAGTTCCCTTCTCACCACCTACCTCCCCAAGAGTCCAAGCCATAGACCCTAAACTACCTCTCACAGATTAGAAGTAGCCACCTATCCAGCATATGTGATGTTCACACGGAGAAAAGAAGAGCAACACCTGGACAGTGTGGGACAATATGCTTCCTTCTCTTCTCTTCGCCCCTGACTCCCAGAACTAGCCCTAAAATGCTCTGGCTCCGCCCTTCCTGAGCAAGGCAGATACTAGGGAATATGAGACATTAAGCTTGACAAAGCACCATCAGCCTCCCCCCACTCAGCCCAGGATCAGGCCAGGCATATGAAAGCCCCTCCCATTCTCTTGGGAATGGAACACCAGCTTGGATCTCACCAGAAAGAACCATTTTCTTAAGGCTTCTTCAAAGCAATCCCCCATGTCATCCCCCTCACTAATAAGTCACATCTCTCAGTTCCTCATCTTCCTCACCTCCGTGAAAGCTGGATACCAGGACAAACCCGTGCAGGTGAAGGGAACACCCATCCACATAAGACCCCCAAACTTCTCAAGCAGATAATGCACCGAGACAACATTCAAAGTGGCTGAGACATAAAAGAAGATTTGGGAAAGGGGCAGAAATGGGGTGTGGCAAGTGGAAAAACTGGGTCATGCTACAGCTTGGGGCAGAGTTCACCCTGGGAGCCTGCACTGCTCCCAATCAGCACAGGGGCAGCCCCAGCCCAAGGGGCCAATGGGAAGCCAAAATGTGGAACCAACATTGGCTGGACAGCACTACTACTTCTCTCTCGCCCCTCACAGAGAGTCAGATCATGTTACCAAAGCTGCTACCCCACCCCCACCTAGGGCAACAGTACAGAAATTTGCCACCTTGGTCTACACAGTGATGAGACTCGAGCCTAAGTTTCTCATCCCAACAGCTGAAGACTCAGCAACAAGACTGACCCCTTTACTAAGTGGCCTCAGTTTCAAACTAAGACTTGAAGACTTCCAACTTAGAAAACACCAAAATGTAGGAACATCTTTCCCAGACCTCCTCAACTTACTGCTACAGCTAAGGAGAGAGAAGGCAGAAGTGAAAGATGTTTGATGGGAAACAAAAACATGACCAGCAGGCTCCGGAATTAAAGCGAAAATAAAGACAAGCAGAAGGATAAAGAAATGACATTTAAAAAAAAAAAAGAAGCTTGAAAAAAAGGTCAAGGAAACAAGTAGGTGACTTAGCTACGGGCTGTAAAAAAGGAAAGACAGACAAGAGAGAGACATCCACTCAGATGCATGACATCAATCACCATTTGAGGAGAGACAAGAGCTTCTCCAATCAGGCAGGATGATTACAACCATACGGGTTTGGCCAGTCCCAGGAGCCACCCACAAACACAGAACAACCCCCAACACACCTACACAAACACTTCATGACACCAGCCCAAACCCTAGGCTCCCTGCACCAAAGCAGAAGCCTCTAGGAAAAAAGTCTGTATTATGTCCATTTGCTATGGGAAGGGGGAGGGGGGGTGCCCCGGGTGTCACCTCCCTTCTTTTGCCCCTCCCTAGTATATCCTTCAGGGTGTGACATCCTACCCCAAGCCCCCATCATTTCCCCATTTGAAACATTCCAGCAATCTGCCTGCTAAAAGCTCTCTACATCCCAGCTGAGGAGCGCAATTCAAACTTCACAGTTGAGACACCACAGAAAACCGGTAACTGATCAGAAGCTAAAAATAATCAGATAGAGAGTAACCAGCACTCCCTCTCTCCTTTCCACAGCAGCAACCACAGGATCCTGCTAACACAGATGCCGGACTGGTCTTCAACATGCAATCCTCAACACCCACCCGAACCCCCACCCCGCCTCCAAGGGGTCCCAGCCACCTGCATTCCTCCGTGGACCCACACAAGGTAAGGTCTCCAGACCAGAGGGCTCCCTCAACTGGGAACTGCATAGCATTCCTTAAAACAGACAGTGCAGCAAGCTTGCATCTCGGTCCCAGAGCCCAGGAGGCACATGGCTTCCACCCCCTCCCACAAGAGCTCCGCAGAAGGGAACCACTCCCTTCGGATGCCCTCCACCTCAGACTCTGCACGGAGAGAGAGAAACTCAACCTTGCCTCACCAGAGTCGCTAGGGAGGGCCCAAATGCCTCCTTCCTGCCCTGGGCCCTTGGGGAAGATTTACCTGGGTGGGGTGGGGGCAGGCTGTTGTTCAAAAGTGCATCCATATCTTCCTCCTCGCTGCCCGCGGAGCAGGGGGACGGGGAGCCCAGGCCCGACGCCATCCCCTTCCGCTCCCGGCCAGGGAATTGGCCCAGCTGCTCCTGCCTGCGGCCTGGGGCCCTCTACACTGGCCCGAGTCACTGTGCGGGGGAGGGGGGGAAGAAAGAGAGAACAGTCAGTGACGCGCACTGTCCCCCTCCCCCACACCCACCCGCTCTTTCCGCCCACCACCAAAGCGGCCCCCCCAACCCCAGCCACCCTAGCAGGGCACCCGAACCACTCAGGCTGAACTTAGTTCCACACTCCTCGAGGGCAGCCCGGAAGCCGGCTCCCCAACTGGAGCCCCCAGATGAGCGGGAGCGACGCCCCCGAGGGCAAGCTGGTGCAGGCGTGGGGAGGGGGAGAAACCAGGCTGGACCAAGCAGCGTATGTCGGGGGGAAGGGGGCCCGAGTGGCCGCGGCGCGGGGGGGTCGGGGGAGGCGGCAGGCAGCGAGGCGCTCGGGGACACAAGGTCACTTGGGGGTGGGGGGGCGCCTCCCTGCGCTTGGGGAGGGGCCAGTCCCCAGACAGGGCAGCTCTCCAAAGGCTGTCCTCTGGGACAACTCAGGTTCTCCGGAGGAGCCACGGGGCCGAGGGGGCGTGGAGGCTCGGGCGCTCCAGGGGGCTGGAGGCTGGGACGCGGGGGGCGAGGGAGCGCCCACCGGGCAGGGGGCCGGGCCACGTGTCCCGGGGGGCAAGTGAGCAAAGGGCGAGGGGGCGGGCGCCGGGCATTGTGGGAGACCAAGCCCGAGGTGGGAGTCGCGGGGAGCAGGACTCGGGCCGGCTTAGGGCGGGGGTGGGGGGGGCAGGGCGCCCTGCAGGCAAGGAAAAGGAAGGGTCGGCTCCTCTGGGCAGGGGGCGGTCCGCGAGTCCCGGACATCTGAGGAAGGGGTGGATGCAGGGATGAGCCTGGGGGCTGGTCAGGCTCAGAGGGGCGTCTCTTTAGGAACCCCGCGCTCTCCTCACCCCGGAGCCGCCGCAGGTCGCGCTGGGTCCGGCCCGGTGTCACTCCCGCTCCGGCTCCTCCTCGCCGCGGCCGAAGGGGGGAAAATGGCTCCGGCTCCGGCGTCGCCTCTTAAAGGGCCCGAAACACCGGCCGGGAAATCCCACCGCACAGGCCCCGCCCCCCCACGGACAGCCCATAATAACCTCAACCAACTCCAACCCCCCCTCCACTACCGCCACCCTCCTCCTTAGGTCTCCCGGGCAACCCCCGCCCCCTCGTCGCTCCGGCAACCATTGGCCACGCCCCCTTCGAGCGCGCGCGCGCGTGTCACCCGGGCAACCACCCACCTCCGGCCATCCCATAATACACACGGACACCCCACCACCACCACCCCACACACACACACTCCATACACCTATATGCTAAGGTTGTTGACATATCATAATATTGCAGACCTTTTGCAACTAACCCTTTCCCCACCTCAGACATCCCATAATAGCCATCCTTTGCCAACTTCTTCACTCTTGGCCCTACTGCTAACATCCCATAATAACTCGTCACCTCTCTTTCCCCATGGCCATCCCATAATAAGCACCCCTCCCAGCACTTAAGCCTCACAGCCCATAATACTCATTCCCCATCCCCCACAGACATCCCATAATAACCACTCTTCATCCACCCCCAGTTTGATATCCCATAATAGTCAGAAACAACGCCCCCCCCCCCCCAGTACTACAACGGACACTTCGGCCTCCTCCCACACACATCCCGTAATAATCAGTTTCCCACTTTTATCCTGACATCCCATAATAACCAACCCCCTAGCCTGAGCTGCCCTCAGCCCCTGCAGACTAGGGTCTAGATCCTCACACCACCACCCTCAGCCTTCATACCTGCGTTCTAACTCCACAGCCCATAATAACCTCTTCTCCTCTGTCAAAGAGCTATCCTCTAATGATCGGCAGCCCTACTGTCACCCTACAGATGGACATCCAATCTCCTTTCCTCTAACGCTGGAAAGATATCCCATAATTTTACTCTCCCACCCACACCTTGATATCCCATAGTAATGTCAAGGAGCCCGAGGTCCACCAGACATACTCTAATACTCCCAGCACATCCCATAATGCTTCATCGCCAGCCACCACCCCTATACCTTTCCAGCCAGGCATCCCATAATATTCACATTCATACCTCCCCCACCTCCTCAGGCTGTCAGGTCTATTCTAACACCCAGAGCCACAAGGTTGTGAAGCAGGCTGCTACCCACACTGCCCTGTGCCCACCCCAACCTGTACATACCTTTATCCCTTTCTGGGCCAAAGCAGTATCCTGGCATAAAGCCTCTTGATGTCTAGGGCAAGCCCTACCTTCCCTCAGACCATTTCTAGACTCTCAGGAACTGCCAGTCAACCTAGGGCCCCACCCAATCCCACCCAAATCCAGTTATTCTCCAGATGCTTACCTCCAGCTCCAGCTCTTAAATATTGAGTAAGACCAGCCAAATACCAGGCTGACCAGATGAACCATTTACATAAAGTTTAATTCACCCCACAGCTTCCCCTAATCTTAATAAACTCCAATCTTTAGAAGGGAGTCTTTAGCCTACTTCTCAACATTTCAGCAGTCCTTCTCCCACCTCATCCTACCTCTCCAGGTCAGGTGGTGCAACACACCTGGGCCACTCCCATGGATGGACATCCCACCATGATGTGACATGAGGATATATATATATAATATATATGCCAAGATCCAAGACCCACTCTCCCTCGACTCACTGCTACTCATGTTCATTTAACAGATGTTGCCAGCATACCTAGTAAGGCACCAAGGTGGGCACCACAGGGAATGCAAGGACCACAGGTGCCTCCCTTCATCAAACAATGAGACAAGATAGAATGTCTGGTGTCAAGGGAACACTGCTCAGTGCTATTTCCCAATTTCCTGTTACAGAGAATAAAATAAATCCCAACTGGTCTCAGGAGAGATCAGATCCCAACAGAGGTTCTTGATAGTCCTTCTATAGGCTAGAAAGTATTCCAAAAGGATGATATAGATGGGTGGCCAAGATATCTCCTCTCTGTTCCCTACCACACTAAGGGATTTTGATTGGAAAGCAATGTCCATCTATCCAGAGTTTCTGAAATCCTATAGTATCCTATCATGTGCCTCCTTCTTGAGAGACTCTTAACACACCAGAATTGTTACCCTCATTCTTGAACACCAAATTATGCTGACCCTCAATGTCCTGGACATTTTTTTTTAAGATTTTATTTATTTATTCATGAGAGACAGAGAGAGGCAGAGACACAGGCAGAGGGAGAAGCAGGCTCCATGCAGGGAGCCCGATGTGGGACTCGATCCCGGGTCTCCAGGATCATGCCCTGCGCTGAAGGCAGATGCTCAACTGCTGAGCCACCCAGGCATCCCTGTCCTGGACATTTTTAACCTGGATTGTTTGTATCCTGAAGTCTCATACTTCCAACTGCCCACATTCTTATCTTGTTGAGGCCCCATGCTCCATCCAAAAAAACCTTTTGATGTAAAATATTCACCACAAGTCAACATTCCAGGATGCTTCCTTCATTCAATTATGCTGCAAGGTAGTCTTCCAATATGTACCCTCCACTTCCCAGACTGGGCCTATCTTGCAGTACCTTGGGGACCCAGCCCTAGAAAGTCCAAGAGCTCAATCTTAAGACGTGTTAGCCCTCAGAGAGCCTGCACCCATAAATCTGTCACTTTTCCCTCTTCCTGATCCCCAGAGAGCCAGGACCCAAATGAGAACCAATGTCCCGGCACCACTGCCTTGCTGCCCCTGACCCCTGAGGCAGAGATAATGCCTTTCTTTGTTCTCATGTGCCTTTTTCATACAAATCCAAGACCTATGGCAGTGGGACAGTTGGTAGAAAAACTGGGATGTTCTTCTAGGAGGAGCCTTCCTAATCAGAAGTGAATAGGATAGACCTCACACCATCACTGCATTGCTCTTCTAATCTCACTTTCCTAGAGAAGGGGCCTGGCCAGAGGACTCTGCCCTTGCCTAGGAACCCAGGGCTGGAGATGTAGCAAGGAGAAATAAATTCAGGAGGTAAGAACTTGCTTCAAGAAAGTTACTATCCCGGGACGCCTGGGTGGCTCAGCGTTTGGGCGCCTGCCTTTGGCTCAGGTTGAGATCCCGAGATGGTGTCCCGTCCCCGTCCCCCCCCCCCCCCCCCCCCCCCCCCCCCCTCCCCGCATTGGGCTCCCTGCAGGGAGCCTACTTCTCCCTCTGCCTAGGTCTCTGCCTCTTTCTCAGTCTGTGTCTCTCATGAATAAATAAATAAATCTTAAAAAGAAAGAAAGTTACTATCCCTTTGCTTCCAAGCAGAGCACCAGTGATGTGGATACTTCTTTTCACCAACTCCTACCTGACTTAACTGCCTAGACCACCCTTTTGCCATGTCCATGGGTGTACTGGCTGTTTCCCCCATTCTGTAAGGCTGTCATAGCCTCCCTCATTCAATTCTCATGACACCAAGATTGGGCCCCATCCATTTGTGCAAACCCTCTCCCATGATTCTCTGAGTACTAAAGATGAACCTTGTACTCTTTGCTTAGGGGAGAGGAGGCAGCTCTTTTAAGATACCATAATGTGGGTATACCTTCTTCCAACAAGATTCTCTTTTGCAAGTAGAGCTGCTGGAGATCTATTATGCCTTCCTCTCTCCCCCCTTTTCTCTCGGGGATCCAGCTTGTCTCTGGGCCTCAAATTCCCTTCTGTAATATCTCCATCTGGCCCTTAGCCTTTTCTTCTCCTATGTATACCACATTACTACAGTGATTCATAATATAAACCAGGAAGAGAGTTTTATAACTGGGTAGCCACAGCTTTGTGCCCATGGTTATAAATATGGATAGATTTTGTCCTCCACAGCCCTCTGCCCCCATCCCTGCAAGTTCTACCCACTTACCACCTTCCTCATCTTACTCCCCACCTCTCCGTGCTACCACCACAAGGAGAATGTTAGAATCCCCTCGTCTCTTCTTGAGTTCCAGAGAGGGCTAGGATTTGTGTGTTTAACTATTGCTTTTGTGGTCTTGGTGCTTCTATACTCCCCCACTCCCTATCCTGGCCCCATGCTACTCTTCCAGATAAATTACAAATAAACCACTAGCATGATTGGCCCACAGAGACTGAGGGTGGGATAATCTCCTGATTAATGCACCCAGGGGGACAGCCTCTCTAGCCGGTTACCTTAGAGTTCTGTTTCCATCCCATGATACAGAAGAACCTAGAATAACACTCAGAGTGGGTTGTCCATGGAGTTCTCAGCACATGCTCTCTCTACATCTCTGTTCTGCGTGAGCCCCAGAAACTCTGCACATAAGAGGTCTAAGGGACCAGTGTTCTCCTGCTTTGTCAGAAAAAGGGGTTTATAAAGACAACATAGGGAAGAAAAGCCAAAGTGACAATGCATTCTAATGGCTAGACAGGATGCAGGTGTGCAGGGTTTGGGGGGGGTGGTGACAGGCCAGGCATTTGTCCTTCAGGAGCCAACAGAGCCTCTGTCCTCTGGGTGTGACTGCAAGGTTGCAAAGCCCCCCTGGCCCAACCTACCTACCTGAGCTGTAGTCCCAAGTCTCAAATCCAGGAAGACAAAGTGGGGAGGAGAGTGCTTAGGTACTGTGGTCACCCAGGAGCACTACTCCCTTTGGTGTGCCACACAACCAGAACCCAGGCATTCTCACTGCCAGCCCAGTGCTGCAGGCCCTGGACTCAGCCACCCTGCAGCTGACAAGCTGCAAAGGGACCCAGGTGTCCAGGGTTCAGATTTGACCAACTCTTGCCTGCCCCAGGGGCCCCTTCAAACAGCTGTCACAGAAGAACCTCTCCAGCCAGTTACTCTTGCCAGGCCTCAGGTCTGACTCCAGGGCTCACCCCACCCTCCCCAGCTCCTTTCCCTCCCTCTTCCTTCCTTTCCTTCCTCACCACCCCCCCCCCTCCCCAGAGCTTCACCTACCCAGGACAGCCCCACCCAGCTGTGCAGGGCACATCCCATAATAATCCTTCTCTTTGCTAGCCCCCACCCCCCCCCAAAAAAGAGAGGCGGCCATCCCATAATAGCCACCCACAAGAGACATTCCGCGGTGACCGCCCCCTCCCTGCAGAGCTGCCGGGAGCAGCCATCCCATAATAGCTGGCCGCCTGTTTTACTGGTTACGGCTGTGGAGGGAGCTGGAGAGGAAATGGAGGGGAGGGGGGAGGGGAAGAGGCTCAAGGGCCCCCACTTTGTGGAGGGAGAAGGGGGAGGAGAGTGGCCCAAGGGGATTGAGAGCCAAGGGGACACAGTGCAGGTGGGAGGTGTGGTCCACTGGCCACTCCAACCATGCTTTGGGGCTTTCTCCCCATTCCCCAGGGGCCGTTTTCCCCCCCTGAGCACCCTGGAGGTGTCTGCTAGTTAGGGTGGATGCCCAGGATGGGTTGAGGTGCTCAAAGTGTGTGCGTGTCGGGGTAGGGGTGGGGGGGTGGATTTCAGGTGTTCCCCTTGGGCCGTTTGAAAGAGAAGACAGACCTTAGGGAGGATGGCAAGAGAGTAAGGGGTGGGGGGGGTGTTGGAGAGGAGCTCCTCAGGCCCTCCCCATTCTGCACCACCATCCCATAATAATCCCCCCAGCCCCACTCCCCCTCCCACACACGACATCCCATAATATCTTCTGGAGAAGCAGTCCCCGCAGTAGGTACAAAGAGCTATCCCATAATATGCTCCCCCACCCCCACTCGCCACCCCCCCAACTTGGCCCCCCCCCTCAGTCACATGCAGCCGGTGCCATCCCCCGCTGCTCCCCCCTCTGGCCACCGAAGGCCTTGCCAGCCCATAATACTCTTGCCTCTGGTCGCAGGAGGCCTCCAGCCCATAATATTCCCTTCCACCACCACCCCCCCTTCCCGCCCCGCACCCCTTCCTCCCGCCTCCAGTTGGATCCGGGCCTCACCAGCCCATAATACTCCCCAGTCTCCTAAGGCTGTTCCAGCCCATAATACTCTCCCTGTCTCCTAAGGCCTCTCCATCCCATAATACTGCCAGACGCCTGACCTGTGGGCCAAACCCCAGCCCGTTCCACACATCGAGGCTGTGTCAGCGCCGCTGGTCTCCCTCCCTTCCCTCCCTCCTCCCTCCTCGGCGCTTTCCCTCCCAGGCTCTCTCCCGCCCTCCTGCCCTAGGCCCCTCTGCCGGCCCCACCCTGTGCCTGCCTGGGCCCTCACTTCCCCTCCAGCCTCCTCTCTTGCCCTTTCTCCTTTGCTTGGTTCTTCAACCCATGCCCCCTCTCCTCTCCCTTTCAGGCACTTTTCTACCCACTCCTCTGTCTGTGGGATGGATGTTAGGCCTAGTGGGGAGACAGTGCCCCCAGAGGGCAACAGGCCGGTCACTGCCCCTGAAAGCTGTCTACTTGACCTAGCACCATGGAAACTTGCCCAGCCTGCCTTGCTCACCCATCCCCTGGCCCTGGTTCTGATTGCTGGCAGAGCTCTGTCTGCGTGAGGATTACCTTGGAGCCCTTGCTGTCTTCCAGAAACACCCCCCTTGGGCATCACGAACAGACTTTACCAACCCCGCGGTCTCCTTTACGCCTCCCCATACTTGTGTTGAAAAGAGAGCTCCCCCTTATGGGATTTCTCTCAGGTGTCTTTCACAGGTGATCTCATTGACCTCACAGCAGCCCAACAAGTAAATACTATGATCCCCATTTCACAGAGCAGAAAACAGAGGTTCAGAGAGTTGAAGTAACTTTGCTAAAGTCACATTTTCAAGAAGTGACAGGGCTGCAATTACTACTGGCCCAGGTTGGTTCTGAGAGCCTTGGGATTCCCCAAAGCCCAAGGGAGAAACTTCACTTTTTGGTGCTACCTCCTCTGGAAGGGATATAGCATGGTGAGAGCTACCCAGCCTCCCTCCATCTCCAGGGCCTCCTGAAGGAATGAAGAAGGCAGGCCAGTGGTGTGAGAAAATTAACCTCCCCCTCCCCACTTCCTCCATGGGACCCCTGGTGGCAACCCTTTGGTTCAGGGCTAAGAAAGAAGCATCCCTGTCCCTCTGGGACCCCTTATCTTGACCCTGGTTCTCCTAAATTTGTTTAATTTCAAGACCAATTATTGTTTATCTTCTCCCAGCTACTCTCACCATGTGGAGGGACCATTCTGCAGAGGAAGCAGACTCTGAGGAGACCTAGGGGAAGGTCTCCTCTTTGGCTTAGTTGGTGAACAAGCAAGAGGGCTGCCTTCCAGATGCTGGGTACCTCCTGGCTAAGGGTGGGGAGTCATGGTCAACTCCACCAAGGCTGAGCCATCCTGCCCTGATATGCCACCACCTAGCTATTCCCTTCTAAGGCCTCAGTGGGGTGTGTTTCGGGGCTCAACACACTGGAACGGTGAACAAGCCCAGTTCTCTCCAGGGGCACCGGTGCTCTGTGCGGGAACCTGGGGCAGGTGTGCCGAAGGGTCAATGGGTTAGTAGCATGGAGGAAGTAGTAGGAAGAGGGAGCGGAGAGGTACAGCAGATTCAGGGTGAGAGACATAGTTGAGAGAGGTGGCCTGTGTGAGGAGGATAAAGGAAGCCAGGAGAAAGGTGGATGGAACGGAGCCAGGATGAGAAGGTGGGAAGCCTCAGGAAGGAAAAGATACGGTAGCATGTCCTGCAAAGAATGGGAGTTTGGGAACCAAATAGATACCATGCCTCTTCCTGTTTGTGTGACTTTCAGACCCCAGCTTCTCTTGGGTGCTTCATTTGGAAAATGGGGATAATGATCATCCCTAACTCATTGGCTTGTTATAATAACCAATCACTAAATAATATAATCAATAGTAATAAGCACCACATTGAGATCCTGGTATAGGGAGTATTTTCAAAACTTGTTTTTTTTTTTAATTTTATTTATTTATGATAGTCACACAGAGAGAGAGAGAGAGAGGCAGAGACATAGGCAGAGGGAGAAGCAGGCTCCATGCACCGGGAGCCCGATGTGGGATTCGATCCTGGGTCTCCAGGATCGCGCCCTGGGCCAAAGGCAGGCGCCAAACCGCTGCGCCACCCAGGGATCCCTCAAAACTTGTTAAACGCTCTTCTTCCTCCATCTAGGATGCTCTCATTTCCCCCATTTGGATTTTCCTAAAACTGCAAATGCAGCCTCTCCAGGATGCTGGGTTAGGCCTCTGGACTTCCACCCCCCCCCCACCATCTTGCATCTGTCTTACTGTGCATCTGGTAATTGGAGAGTCCTGTGAAAATGGCAGTGGCTGGCTACAGGTGTCCTTAGACTTCCACACCTTGTTACTCGTAAAGTTCTTCTGTTCATGCCTCCTCTGCCTGCCACATCTCCCGAATCTATTCCTGCCTCTCTATTCTCGTGATCAGAACTCTTTGGATATACTGAGTGCAGGCCAACAGCCCACCAGAGCTTAAACACCAGAGATTTCACACTGGAGATGACCCATTTCCATCCACCTCCACAGGCCATGGTCACACCTCTCCTTGGCAATTTTAACAGCACCCCAAACAGTCTTCCTTTCCCCCTTCCTTTCCTCACTTCCCTACAGCTGATGCCACATGGTATGTCAGAGTGAGCAGAGCCTCACTCAGAAACCTTTAGGAGCTTCCCAATGCCCACTAAATTAACTTCCACCACCTTACTCTGCCTTCTTGCATCCTGTCTTGAGTGGTAATTGTTGACTTGTTCTGTGGTCCCCGACGAGACAGTAAACTACTCCACACCAAAACTCAACAGTTCATCATTCAACAAAATATTTATTAAGTGCTTCTTTTGTGCGAGGCGCTGTTCTAGATGCTGGAGATACAACAGAGAACCAAGCAAACAGAAATCCCCCCCCCCCGCCCCCAGGGACCTTACATTCTACCTGAGGGGAAGGGGCGGAGGAACAGACAAGAAACTAAAAACTATAAAAATAAATAGTTATATAGTATGTTACTTTCTATGTGAGTTTTTATTACTCTGGAATTTGTTCAGATACCAGAATATAAAAATACTCAAGTAATTTTTAAAAACTGTACACAGTTCAGTTCAGTTTGGATAGGGCAAAGTTCTGAGACTTTGAACTACTACTACCTTTTATGCTCTCGGGGCATGCGTCTTGAACCCTAAGGATGAAGCAAGATGGAGCAGGTGCTAACCATCAGGCCTCTAGGAGAGCCACAGGGGGGCCTGGCCCAGGGCTCTATCTTCCCACCAGATGGTGTAAGGCTCTACTTGAAAGCTATCACGGAGGAATCTGGGTCAGTTCCCCGCTTTGGCCACCAGGGGTCATTTTACCCCTGTAAATCACCATCTGGAGCATTCTCTTGAAGACACAAAAGGCTTACTCCAAACTAAAATACATAGTCACACAGGGGAAGACCCTGACAGTCTCTCTCTCTCTCTCTCTCTCTCTCTCTCTCTCTCTCTCTCTCTCTCTCTCTCTGACACACACACACACACACACACGCACACACACACATCATAGAAAGACCTAGAGACAGAAACAGAAATGCATACAGGACATACGCATGGCAGCAACTTCCTCACTTATGCAGAGCCTAAAGATGCCAACTCTGCAACCCCTCCCAGCCCTACTTGGTAAAGAGGGAAGAAGGAAACAGTAGGTGGTCCATTAACCAGTCTTCCATTTCCTTGCCTCCAGCTTGCTCAGAACCAGACAGCCTATTCCTGTCCTCCCATTGCACTTATTTCCCTGGAAACTTCTTTCCTGGCTGTGGCAACAGTTCCCTTTTCTCTCTGCAGGAAGAGAAGCCCACCCCTCCTCTGAGTGTGTGTGTGTGTGTGTGTGTGTGTGTGTGTGTGTGTGTGACTACTTCACCGCACCTCAGAGCTGCCCCCAGCACCAGGAAACCCAAGGTAGCACTACACTGAAGGTGCAGCTCCTACTTCTCCCCCTGCAAACCCTTAAAACTTTGGGACTCTGTTAGCACTTAATTTATGGAGTATTGCCCCTTCCGGCAGTAATAAGCAACAATGTATATGTATGCCCTGGGAAGAAGTTACACATGAACTCTAATACTGACTCTTTGAGGAAGTCCACAAGGTCAAGGTTATTTTCAGAATACTACTACTCCCACCATGTTGTTTGTCCTGTGCAGTCTCCTTGCTTACGGTGTTTTCTAGAAGCTTCATGAAGTGTGATGACATTATTGCTCTCACAGCTAATGGAGTGTGTTGCTTGTGTGTTTCTGTTGCTAAAACTTACGAGTTTTAATTTCTATTATGGTATCAAAAGCATAAGCAAAAACTTTTTGGAATCCTCGATTTTTAAGAGTTGTAAAAGGGTCAGGAACAGAGTCTGAGAATTGCTACTTTAGTACAAAGAATTTTCTCCTTAATTCTAGATGAAGCTGCAGAGGCAGAGAGAGAGAATTTAGGACCTAGAATGGAGGAGGTCCCAAAAGCGGGGTGGGGTGGAAGGAGAAAGGATACCTAGAAAGGGCTAAAGGGACCAGAATCTTGGGAGGGGGGAACAGCCTCTAACTCACAGTTTTGTCCTGTCCCCAAACACCCCATGCTAGGTATCAGGTCTAAATTGTTACAAGTCACTAACCAAGAATGAAACCAATTCTGTCTGCATCCAGTAAACTCATGCCTCAGTGCTGGGCAGGGGAAGGCCAGGTGGAAATGAGAGTGGGTGGCATCCGAGGCGCGAAGACTGCCGTGGTTGGTCTAAATTCAGGACACTCATTTTCTGCTCCAACTACTAGCTCTCCACAGTGTTTCATGCCCACACCGAGGGCATGTCATCCGGTCCTAGCCGGCCGCTGCACTGGGAAAGCTCACAGCAACTCTTCTTCGGGGCTGGGGAAGGGGTCTGCCCCGGCTCACCTCACCGTCACCACCAAAGTAAAGGCATTTCTACCGTCACTCTTCCCTGTGCCCCTGGATCCCCACACTTGGTTCTCTTGTGTAGTTATGGGCAGCAGTGGCCACCCGGAAGTCCAAGTGCCCAATCCGCTTCCCTCATGTACACACCCTGCGAGTGTGCGTGTGCGTGGGAGGTGGGGGTGACCGAGCGGCAGCACGTTGGGCACTTCAGAGGGCCGAGTCCTCCCGGCGCTGGGTCAAGGGCGTCCCCCGGGGGGAGGACCCGGGAGGCTCTCGGCTGGCGGGAGCCGGCCCCGCGATGCAGGTGGTCTCGGTGAGCCGTTCGGCCAGCGCCCCCTGCGCCCCGTTGGTGGCCAAGGTCCTGGCACGGTGCCAAGTGCCCAGGCCGCGCAGGGTGTTGCGGAAACCCTCGGCGCTGAAGTAGTACACCAGCGGGTCCAGCACGCAGTTGGCGCTGGCCAGCAGCACCATCACCATGAGCACCTGGCGCACCCGGTCGCAGGCCTCGCTGCCGGCCGCCACCAGGTTGCCCCGCAGCAGCCCGTAGACGGCCAGCGTGGCGTTGTAGGGCACGAAGCACAGCAGGAAGATGACGAGGTTGGCCAGCAGGAGGCGCACGGTCTTCCGCCGCCGCCGGCTCCGCGTGGCGTCGGGCCGCGCCAGGGTCCAGAAGACCCGGCCCGACGAGTAGAGCATGGCCGCGAGCGGCAGCAGGAAGCCCAGCGCCTCGGCCAGCAGCACGAGCGGCAGCAGCCCGCCCTTCCACAGCTTGTCGCCGAAGCTCTCGAAGCACAGTCGCGCCCGGCCGCCGTCGTAGCTGCAGGGCGAGGGCCGGTGCACCAGGACGGTGGGCACGGCGAACACCAGGATGAGCGCCCACACGCCCAGGCACAGCAGCCGCGCCACGCGGGGCCGCCGCAGGTGGCGCAGCCGCAGCGGGTGCACGATGGCCGCGTAGCGGTCCACGTTAATGAGGGTCAGGAAGATGCAGCTGCCGTACATGTTGGTCTGGAAGACGGCGCCGGCCGTCTGACACAGGAGGTCGGAGAAGGGCCAGTGGTGCAGGGCGTAGTAGGAGATGCGCACGGGCAGCGAGAGCGTGAAGAGCAGGTCGCTGGCCGCCAGGTTGCACATGTACACGCTGACCACGGAGTGCACGCGCAGTGCGCGCAGGAAGACCCAGAGGGCCAGCGCGTTGAGGGGGAGCCCCGCGGCCAGCACCAGGCTGTAGGCCACCAAGTGCAGGCGGTGGGTGACCCGGTAGTCGGGGCATGGGAGGACGGAGCTGTTGGCGGAGGCGGTCAGCATGGTACCGGAGCGTGATGAGGAGCTGGGCCCGGGGCATCAGCGGGCACGCCGGGACCCCGGCCTGGTGTCAGTCTCCGGGGCGAGGCCCGGAGGCTGCGCAGAGCCCATCGCGGAGCAAGCAGCGCCTGGGAGTGTGGGCTATGGCTGTAGGGCTGCAGGGGGCACGGCCGTTAGCGTTAGCGCCGGGGTGCTCTGGGTCACCGCTTCCTCAGCCGCGGGGACCTGGAAGAGGAAGGCAAGCCAAAGTCAAGGTGATGCAAGGAAAGGGTAGAAGCCTCAAATGTTTATCTAGCTAACCTGGCTGCCCTCTCCTTTCATATATTTGTTTAGTTATTCATTCATTCATTCTTGAGAGGCAGAGACATAGGCAGAGGGAAGCAGGCTTCCCGTGGGGACCCCGATGCAGGACTCGATCCCAGGATCAACCCTTGGATCCCAGGATCATGCCCGGGGCCGAAGGCAGACACTCAACCACAGAGCCACCCAGGTGTCCCCCGGCTAGCCTCTTGAGTCTTTTCTCAGCCTCAGAAACACCCCCCTCCCCCTTCCATGCGGCCAGAATAGCTTTCTGCGGTGAGGCTAGATAGGGTAGTGTTAGAGGTCCAGGCTTTGGAGTCCGACTGCCTGGGTTTATTTTTTTAGTTTTAAAGATTTTATTTATTTATTCATGGGGGCGGGGCAGAGAAACAGGCAGAGGGAGAAGCAGGCTCCATGCAGGGAGCCCGATGTGGGACTCCATCCCGGGTCTCCAGGATCAGGACCTGAGTGGAAGGCAGATGCTCAGCCGCTGAGCCACCCAGGGATCCCCAACTGCCTGGGTTTAAATCCTGGTTCTGCCAACTTGCTTACCTTTGTCCCCAGAAAAGTGACTTAATCTCTCTGAACCCCATTTTCCTTACCTGGGGAAAAAGGTGGTCTTGTGTATATGTATGTGGGGGGGGGGTGTCTCCTACTTCATGAGGCTGTTAAACTAGGTATGTGTAAAATGCACAAGTTGCTGCTAATACATAATATGTCTCTGTTTCTTTCTTCTACAGATGTTTACTGAACTTTTTAGAAGCTTTTAGAAGGTTCTGGGCATGTTCACAGCCCTGAACAAAAAACAAAGGGCTTGCCCCCATCTACTTTACTCCCATTGAAGGGAAACCTATAATAAAATGCAAGTAAATAGGTGTTGTGTCAGATGGTGAGAAATATGATGGAGTACCTCCCCTGGAACTCCCCAGTTCTGCTGGCTCCCCATTATCTAGAGAATAAAGTTCAAACTCCCTAGTACAGTACAAAATCCAAGCCTCATTCATCACATCCACCATTGCTCCTGTGTGGGCTGGGTTTATGGTCAGAACAACCCAGGTTCAGCTCGATTGCTTGACCACTCTCCCCATTTCTTCATCTGTAAAATGGGGAGAATAACATAATGGGCTCTCATAGGCTGATCGATCACATACCAGCACAGTCCTGCCAGGCAGGGGAAGGTGCTGTGGGTTGAGCATTTCCATGTGCTCTCCTGGAGGATCTACCTAGGGAGCTTCCCAGCTGGGGTGCTGTGATGGAGAGAGACAGTAGTTTTTTAGTGAGGGCTCAGAGGGGACCCGAAGTCCAGAGAGTGTGGCAGTGAGGCAAGAAAGTACCAAGGGCACTGCCAAGGCCACAGGGAGAGCAGCCCACGGCAGCCACAGTGCTCAGGCAGCAGCTTCTCTCAGGCAGGATATGGCTAGGTGAAAGGGCCCGAGGACAGGACATGGTCTCAGGATCCCACCCTCCTTAATGCCCTAATGCCACAGAAGCTACTCTGCCATCTTAACCCCCAAAGTCCATCTTGTGTGTAAAATATACACAACTTCATATTTACCATTTTAACCATCTTTAAATATACAATTCAGTGACATTAAGTACACTCACAATGTTGTATGACCATCACTACTATTTCCAGACTTTTTTTCATCCCAAACAACTCTATACCCATTAAACACTAACTGCCCATTCCCTCCCCACACTCCCTCCAGCTCCTGGTAATGTCGATTCTACTTTCTGTCTCCAGGAATTTGCCTATTCTATTTGAATTAGTATTTTCATTTTCTTTGGGTAGATACCCAGTAGTGCAATTACTCGATCATATGCTGATTCTATTTTTAATTACTTGAGGAACCTTCATACTGCTTTCCACAGTCGTAGCACCAATTTACATTCCCACCAAAAGTCCACGAGGGTTCTATTTCTCCACATTCTTGCCAGTACTTGTTATTTCTTGTCTCTGTTGGGGGAAGGGCAGAGGGAGAGAGAGAATCTTAAGTAGGCTCCACGCCCAGCAGGGATCCAACATGGAGCTCTATCCCGCAACCCTGAGATCATGACCTGATCTGAAATCGAGTCAGATGCTCAACAGACTGAACCACCCAGGTGCCTCTCTCATTGTGATTTTTCAGTTGCATTTCCCTGATGATTAGTGATGTTGAGCATCCTTTCATGGGTCTGTTGGCCATCCGGATGTCTTCTTTGGAGAAACGTCTATTCAGGTCTTCTGCCCATTTTTAAAATAAGATTATTTGTGTTTTTTTCGGTGTTGAGTTGTGTAAGTTGAATTTACCTATCCCAGAAATCTCGTATGAGTGGAATTATATAATATCTGTCCTGTTGTGTCTGGTTTATTTCACTTAACATAAAGTTGTCAATATTCATCCATGTTTTAGTATGTATCAGAACTGCAATCTTTTTTATAGCTGAATAATATATATTTTTATATTTTTTGTTTATCTATTTATCTGTCGATGGTTACTTGGGTTCTTCCACCTTTTGGCTATTGTGAATAATGCTGTGAACATGGGGTCCACATGCCATCTGAGGGAGCAAAGTCATCCAGAGGCCTTGAGCAATTATCCCAAGATACTGGATTTATTCCTTTTAAAAGGAATAAATCTTTTTTTAAGACTTAATTTTGTAAAAAATATTTATTTATTTTAGAGAGTACACACACAAGCACAAATGGGGGGGGGCAAAATTCACAAGCAGACTCCCCGCTGAGTAGGGAGTCCAACTCCAGCTTGTTTGCAAGGCTTGATCCGAGGACCCATGAAATCATGACCTGAACCAAAATCATGAGCCAGACACTTAACTGACTGAGCCACCCAGACATCCTTTAAGATGTTTTTTTTTTTAAAGATTTTATTTATTTCAGAGAGAGAGCATGAAAGAGAGAGAGAGAGAGAGAGAGAGAGAGAGAGAGAGAGAATGAGCGGGGGAAGGGCAGAGGGAGAAGCAGACTCCCACTGAGTAGGGAGCCTGATACCGGGCTCTATCCCAGGACCCTGGGATCATGACCTGAGCCGAAGCCAGATGCTTAACTGCTTAACCAATTGAGCCACCCAGGTGCCCCAAGATTTAAAAAAAATTTTTTTAAAGGTTTTATTTATTTGAGAGAGAGAAAGCATGAGCGGGTGAGGGAGGGGCAGAGGGAGAAGCAGAGCCCCCCACTGAGCAGGGATCCCAACAGGGGTACTGGATCCCAGGACCCTGAGATCATGACATGAACTAAAGGCAGACACTTAACTGGCTGAGCCACCCAGGCACCCCAAGATTTTATTTTTAAGTAACCTCTACACCCAATGAGGAGCTTGAACTCATAATCCTGAGATCAAGAGTCACACTTTCCACTGACACCCAGCCAGGCACCCCAGAACTGCTTAAATTCTTACATGCAACCAGGCTGTAAATATGACTCTTAAGAAATTTTCTTGTGGGTTTTCTGTTCATTTATTCTCCCTCCAACCATGACTACCAGCAGTTTAAAACTTGTACGAGGTAAAAAAAAAAAAAAAAAAAAAACTTGTACGAGGTTTAGTAGGTCAGTTAAAGGAAATAAACATTTCCTCTGCAAAACACCAATTTCAACAACGAAAATCAGACTAAGTGGGGCTGAAACACGCCAAAAAGCAAAAAAACCCAGACTCTTGCCCTGATGCATGCCCCCAGCTCCCATGTTGCTTTGCTCCAGTCACACCAAACTAATAATTTTGCACCAATCTTATGTTCTCAGGACTCTGCTTTTTTGCACGTGCGGGGCCAGCTCTTCAACCTGGAATGCCCTGCCTCCTCTCATTCTCCAACTGGCAAAGTCAATCATTTCTTAGGACTCTGTGAAGCCTTGCCTTCCTCCCTCCCTTCCCGCAGGACAGATGTCGTTTCCTTTCCGGGGGATTCCACTTTGTACACAGGTTTACCATAGGTGTTCCACCTCTACTGTAATTGTCCTTTCTTAGTCTGCCCCTCCTGTTAGACTGTGAGCTCTTAGAGGGAAGGGCTGTTGGACTGTGACTTAGTCATCTTTGTCTCCCCAGCCACTGCCTCAATAAATGTGGAGTGAAAAATACTAGTGATCATTTATGACCATTCAGTGCATGTCCCAGGGGTTTGTGTTTTTTTTTTTTTTAAGGTTTTATTTACTTACTCATGAGAGACACAGAGAGAGACAGAGACATAGACAGAGGGAGAAGCCTGCTCCCTGTGGGGAGCCCAGATTCAGGATTCATCCCTGGGATCACGCCCTGAGCCAAAGGCAACCACTGAGCAACCCAGACGTCAGTCCCAGGGTATTTTATACGCATAGTCTTTAATCCTTCCAACAGCCCTTTGAGGGAGGTGTCTTCCCTCATTTTTACAGGAAAGGAAACAGAAATTCTAGAGCTCAGTCAGTATTCAGACTTGAGATTCAAACCCAGCTCCAAGCTGCCCTTGGGGAGCTGGTCAGATATGAGGATGCATGCTGCACAGAGCACCTGCCCATAAGGAGTCTGTGCCCACAGAAAAACTAGGTTACTTCCTTATTTGCCCAGATGAAATATACTTTTTTAACAGCCCACTTTTTCTCAAACTTCAAACACTGGTAACACAGACTCAACTCACTTTCACACACACACAAAACAGGAGTGTTCCTCCTTATGATGTCCTCTTACCTACTTAAGTGCTTACTTCGCTGCTTTGAACTCAGGTTGTTTTATGTATGTTTATTTGCTTCCATCAACCCCAGCTAGATGGTAAGGCTGTGAGGTGGGGCCCCATCTTCCATTGCCTTATTTCCAAGCACACACACACTTCAGTAGCCCTCGTGACATTCATTGACCGCCTGGAAGAAAATCTGTCCCTTTCCCCCATGTTCATCCATCCTGTAATCTTGCTATAATATCTCTTGTATCAGTCCACCACCTGCTTCTTATCTCACTCCTGACTATCTTGTCCACATGTATCATTCACTTAGTAAAAGACTATGGCCCCTAAAAGGCCTGTTTGGAAACAGCTTGCATTAAAATTTCAAAAAAACAGTTTACACTATAATTACAATAACACTTTATCGTTCTTAACCACTACCTAAAGAATCAACTGCTTCTTACAACCAGGGGGCACGTAAAGACAATGAATGAGTGAATATTTATTTTCCAAGAATCTCAAGTATCTCTGTCAACAAAGTTACAGCACTAAAGAAACCAAAAACGTATTAGGTGAGCTGCTACTTATAGGTAAAGTTAAGAAACCTTTAGTAAAGCATGATGGTGATGCATTTGTTACTGGATCCCAAAATGGAGAAGCCCTTTTTGTCAAAAAGTCATCCCTTTCTGACAGATACACACACAATGGCCCAAGCTGGGTGTTGAGAGCTGCCAGGCCCCTGCCCTGGTCCCCACCCCATCTGCCTGCTTCCCTGGGGCTCCTGTCAGTGGAGCTGAATGGGCACAGTGCCAGGCCAGATGGCAAAGATGGGGAAAACTGCCAAAAAGGAGGCAAACAGGAAATGGAAGGAGGGCACTAGCTTGGGGGGGGGGCAGTGAGGGGGAGGGACAGCCCAGGATCTCTGCCCAGTCCTGCCTTGAGAAAGAGGTCAGGTTGTAGAAAAGATGTTGGAAGAAAGAAACAGCAGCTGTCCCAGAAAAGAACCAACACCAGGGCTTCGTTTCACCAGAGAGGAGGGACATGGAGGTCCCATAATCTTTTTTTTTTAGGTCCCCATAATCTTAGCAGCCTCCACCCCCATGTTTGTGGTAATGAGCACGCCACTACACACACATGCACGTGCAAAGACACACAGAGGTGTAGGTACACTGAGAGAAGTGCACACAAGATCCCTGGTAACGTACAATCACTATACATACACACCCACCAACGCACAAGTATGTGCACGCATGGAGGTGCGGACAGCTAAGGCCAGAGGAGGAAGAGAAGGCACAGCCCTTGCCTTAGGGACAATATTCTTGCACAGACAGAGTCATGCAGCCTCAGGAGCACATAGCCATACGGAGGGGTCGCACAAACACTCGGGGGCAAAGGAAGCACCCTGCTTATGGGGACAGCCCTGGGGACTGCCCACTTCACACCGCCCGAACCACCACCACCACTCACACACAGAGCAGGGGGGACATCATTTTCCTTTCTTGCCTCGAGTCTCTTCCAGCTTTCCATGCTCACATCCGAGGCCCGGGTTCCTGACAGACTCAGGGCCTATCGGACCTGTCCCATTGCCCTCTGAGCTGGGCTGGGCACTGCTCTTTGCTGAGATAAGCCAGAGGGGCAGAGCTATTTTCTGCCAGGCAGGAAGTGAAAACTGAGTAAAAATGAGCAGGAGGCTAGGTCGTGGCCATCCCTCCCTGTCCTCCACACAACCTCCCCATGATATCTACCCTTCTGGCAGCTGACCAGCAGTGCAGAGGGCTGGAGAGAAAGGAATAGGTGATTCAGGAGAATGGTGGGGGCAGTGAGGGGATAGAAATAACTTTTGTCCACCCTCCTCCTGTCTGTCACACTCTCCATGAACACAACTATCCCCCCTCCACCGGCCGCTCTCGTGCGTCAACCAAATGCCTTGCTCTGTCTCCTCTCTTTAGTAATTCATATTCTCCAGGAGTTTGAAAAGGAGGAATCTCAGATTTCATCCTCCTTGCCCCAGAAAATCTGTTCTAGAACAGCCCCAAACTTCATTTTAGATTCTGGAGGCCACAGCTGAGAGTCATGGCCAGTCAGCATGTCCCACACTTACACAGTATGGATTCTTTTTTTTTTAATTTTTATTTATTTATGATAGTCACAGAGAGAGAGAGAGAGAGAGAGAGAGAGAGGCAGAGACACAGGCAGAGGGAGAAGCAGGCTCCATGCACCGGGAGCCCGACGTGGGACTCGATCCCGGGTCTCCAGGATCGCGCCCTGGGTCAAAGGCAGGCGCCAAACCGCTGTGCCACCCAGGGATCCCCACGGTATGGATTCTAACCACCACATTAGCTGAGCCCACTTCTGCTGCTGTGCGTGGGTGGCCGTGGGAGGATACACCCTTGACCCCCAGACAGGCTTAATTTTCAATTATACCTCTTAATACGTGTATGTTCAGACTCCCCAAACAGATCCAAACTAGGCTGGAGCGTCCAGCGGAAGCTTAACGAAGTCTGAAGGCTTTGTGAAAAGCTCTTAGAGCTGCTCTGAGGACATGGATGAACCCACTCATTGGAGGGGTCTCCGCATGGAGATAGTACAATGTCACCATGGTGAGTGGATGGCCTCTTCCTAAGGGGGCCACAGTCTTCCCAAGGAGAGGAGCATCTGACACAGGCCCCTGGGGGGTGTTGTGTCCTAACTCCCTGTCCCTCTTCCTGTCCCAAGCTTGCTCTGCTTCTCCAGCCAGAATTCCTGCTCCAGCCTTTTTCCACCTTTCCCCACCTCAGCCTGTCTCTTCTTTCATTTCCAGTATCATCCTCAGCCATGTCTTCTCCCTCCCTGGGTATTCTGATCTCATCTCTCCCATTTTTTCCCCCAGGCAAAAGCAGAAAGTAAAGGTGGCCTACAGCTCAGTGATTTGTTTCCCCTGTGTGTGGATGTTACCTTGCATCACCTGCCCATGTCCCTCCACCCTGCTTTCAAGAGCTTGAAAAACAGGAAATAAAGTCACAATCCAGAGAAGTCGCTTGGGCTGGACCAGCCCTCTGCTGCAGCCCTGTACTCTGCGTAGTCTGTGTGCCTCTTACCCTTGCTTTGGGGCCTGGATGGGTCCTGCCCCCGCAGAGAAGCCCGGAGGCTTTTGGCCTCTTTGACCTTGCTCTGAACTCGGGCAGCACTTCTTGCACACCCCTGGCTTCACCCTCACCCTTTCTGCTGCCTCCTTTCTTGTGGGCCTGGGCACACAAGGGGTCTGTGCTGCTGGGGTATACTCTGGGGGCAGTAGGCTGTGGAAGGCCAAGAACATCAGCCAGACAAGGAGCTGGGCCTTAGGGTCTCTGAATGGCCAGGAGGTAAGGCTTATGGGTACAGGCAAGTTCCTATTTTTCCCTCACTCCTTGCCTCCATCTCCCTCTGGGGCTACAATTTTCTTACCCTAAAAGAAGCTGGAGATACAGCCTGGTGGGAGTTCCCCTTCTTGTCACAGGGGCGACCCTAAACATAAGGGATGGGTAGGCAGCTGCCCTTAGTATTGTGATCTAAAGTTATCATAAGGCCTTGCTGACCTTCAAATATTTCCCCCACCTGCACTCAATATCGGAAATTTCATCCCCTTCATGCCACTCATGAGCCACATTCTATCAGAGTTATAGGGACATTAGAGACCATCTCGTCTAATATCCTATAGAAGATGAATGCACTGGGTTTAAGCAGTATTTCTCAAAGACCCGATTAAAATACATCTTGGTTAGCTGGGAAGGATAACCGGAAGAACACATCTGTGCCACTAAACTCATTCGTGGAGTTTAATCAGGTTAGTTCATTGTCATCTAGCAGAGGGTTTGGCCTGGGGGAGAGGGTGAGTGGGTCCAGGATTAAGTTTTATCTGAGAGTGGGAAAAGAGACACCATCCCCACAGAGCCCTCCTAAGTGGCTGTAGGAAGCCTAGGGTTCAGCATAACAGTGGGAGCCCAAGGGGTGAAGGGGAAGACACATCTCCCCAAGGTGGTCCAGTGTGGGGGCTTTGGGCTTCAGAGGGGCACTCCTGGGTGTGCCAAGTGTGGTGCCTCCCCTGGCTGGGTCTGAAAAGGTCTGTCTGCCAGAGGCAGCCCCTTACAGTTTTTTTCCCCCTAAGATTTATGAAAGAGAGAGAGAGAGCACACATGAGTGGGGGAGGGGCAGAGGGAGAGAAACAAGCAGACCCCCAGCTGAGCAGGGAGCCCAGTGTGGGACTCATCCCAGGACTTGAGATCATGACCCAAGCCAAAGGCAGACGCTTAACCGCTTAACCGACTGAGCCACCCAGGCACCTCCCACCCCCCCCCTTTAGCTTTTTACTCTATTCAAAAAGATTTTCCAGGGCCCATGGCCCTCCTCATCTCCATCGCCACCCACAGACCCATTCTAAAAGAAGGCCACTGCCTCTTATGCCCCCTGCAAGGTCCAACCCCACCTGTGACAGCCCCATACCTGTGTTCTCTGTGGCTTCCGCTGCCTGCTCTGGGCTGGGCTAGGCTGGTAGGACCTGCTCCTGAGGTGGGTGGAGACACACTCTCCTGGCAGATCTCAGCGTGTCCCAGCTCCCTGCACTCACCCAACCCCACATAGGGCAGGGAGAGAGAGGAAGCAGTGCCCTCAGTGGCCTTCACCGCTGGCTAGGGAAGAAACCCCAGCAGAGAATGGCACTTAATCCAGCCCCAACTCTTGCCTACTAATGCCTGCTCCCACCCATGGCTCACACACTCCCCAGCTTCCGGGAAGTTCAACTGACACACCCACTCACCGATGCTAGATGACTAACCCACCCACCTCTAGCTGTACTATACCAGTTCCCCCTGGGTGTCTCTCTTTGGGTTCCAGCAGGTGGTTTCATTCCTGCCACTCATAGCCCCATGCCACACCCTGTCCAGAGCCGTTCCTCCTTGCTTCTGTCTGGCTCCCCTAGGCTGTGGGCTCTAGGGAACGGGGGACTTAGATGGTAGCCCCTCTGGCTGAGCCCATCACCTCCTGCCTCAACAAGGCTAGGTGTATCATGCCCAATACACAAAAGCAACTTAAAGTTTCTGAGCATAGATGAAAAAGGATATTGTGGTCAAATAAGTCTGAGAAACACTAGGCTGAACAGGTTTCTCTATGACAGGGTTTCTCAGAGCGTTTACCCTGCCATTAGAAGATTGACCATGTGTTCATAATTGAAGCTGGGTGAACGGTGCATGGGGTGCATCATACTATTCTATTTTTGTGCATGTTTGAATTTTTCCATAATAAACAGGTTTTTTTAATGCTGTTAATCACCATGCACCTGTAGAAGGAGAGACTACAGTGTCCCAAATATATGTGTCCCTAGAACACATTTCAGGAGCTCCCAAGTTATTAAAGGCCAATGCTGGAGGCAGACCTGAATGTATGTTGTCAAGATAGGACCACCTCAACCTTCAGATCATCTGGCCCATCACTGGATGTTAAATCAAGGGTTTCCTGAGCTCTGGGTCCCAGCTTTCCCCTCCCTCCTGATAAAGTGTAAGTTTTGCCCTACTTTCCTGGGGTTGTTCCCCCTGGGACATAATCTCAGTCACATTCCAGCCTTGATCCTCCTGAGGGACAATCTTATACCTGTCTGAGGGCATAGGCTTTAGAAATGAAGACACACACCCTCATGACCCACACAATCCCTAAGACCCCAGCCATGGCCTCCTTCAATCCAACTTCCTGATTTCTTAGGTATTTTCCTGGCAGGTGGCTACTTCCTTGAGTACAATTCATGAGGTTCTTTCATCTTCAGATGGATCCATGAATCCCAGGGGTCGAAGTGTTGATTCCCATGGGGTAGGATGGCAGTGCTGAGGATGGGATCATCACCAAAGTAAGCCACACAGATTGAAAATAAACACTTTATGTAAAGACATCCTTTAAGGCGAGTGGAGTGCCCATCATGGACCTCTCTGGGACTGCTGTCCCAACCCAAGGCAAATGTGAGTCAGGGCAAGGTGAGAGACCCACAAGTGGCAGCCAGGAAAGCAAACTGACAGATGGGGTCTAAAGGCAATGGAGAATGTGGGGAGGTAGGGCTGGGGTGTAGGTAGCATGGACCTGAGTTCATCCGGCTTGGCCTAGAGTCAAGGTGCTGAATTCCTGGCTCCATCGAAGTACAAGGTCCTCGCTTTTGGCCTGGCTTAAGACACTGTAAGTCTCATTCTGCAGACATCTCATACGGGACACCTACACAGGGGTTGGGGACACGGAGTCTGCATCACAGAGCCCAAGAGGCAGAGGTGTGGCAGGAGGGAAGTGTCAGAAGTCCCGCAAGAACCAGAGGCGAGCAGGGATGGGCACAGGGCAGTAGAAGGAAGGAGGAAACAGATGTAGGTTTTTAAGGCTGCAAGAGACGCCAAGTAGCCCAACCTCTCCTTCAAGAAGTGAGGAGGTTGAGGATGGAAGAGGAAGTAACTTATCTAGACTATTGGGTGAGTAAGAGTAAGAGGCAAGAAGGACACTTCAATATCCAATGCCTAACCCAGCTAGGGAGTCTTGCCGTGGTGCCTCTTATTTGTAGCATGCCTCCTAGACTCCCCTTCGTCCCTGCCTGGGAGGGCCTCACTTACTCCAAGACAGGAGGAGTGGGAGAGGAGGCTTTGGTGGAAGCTTCTGCCCAGAGATACAATTTGGGAACTCGTTCTCACCCCAGTAGACCCCCTGTGGTGACCGAAGGGAGGAGGAGGAGGGGGCAGGGTGAGGGGCTCACCTTCCGGTCCCGGCTTCTCATCAGGCACTGTTGGCTTTTGAAGGCACAGTAGTTTGGATACTGTACATAGTCTGTGTCACAAATCTAAGCCAGGATCCAGGAATGGGGAGGTGGGGAGATATCAGAAGCCTTCTAAGACACCCATCCTCCAGAAAGCCCATGATGGCAGAACCAGGGCCAGGGGCAGAGCCCTTGAGACCCAGCCCTTCCACACCTGGGGTGCCCCCTCTCTGAGGAATAGGCTTCTGTCGCCTCTGCCTTTCTTGCCTCACCCTCAGTCACAGCTTGGTGCTGAAAAGACACCAGGAGCCAGAGAATGAAGTGGCTGCCTTGCTGGTCAGCTTGCTGGGAAAGTAGCCAAGGAAGAGGGAATGGGGAAGGGGGCCCAATTAATGGCCCAATCTCAGGGAGTCTTCTAGTGATGGTTAAGTGAGAGAGAGGGTAGAAGAATCTCTAATGTGTGACCTTGGGTGCACCACTTCCCTCTGTGGATCTTGCCTCCCCATCTATAAATCCAGGGGAAAGGGAGGGATGACCTCTGAGACCCTTTTCAGGTCTAGGGGCCCGGGGATAAGAGCTAGGCGGGGGCCCTACCAGCCCTTTAAGCTGTCCTGGCTTTTCCTGGCCTTGATTTTTTCCTGTTAAACCACAGAAAAGAGGGATCTGGCTATCAGTGAACAACAGGTAGCTCCAGAAGGGAGGTAACTTTGGGCAGAGAGGGGGCAAAGTCGATCCCACTGAGCAGGGGAAGCCCTGGAACCATAGGGCAAGGAGCCCTGCCAGACTGAAGCAGGCCAGCACTGGGTCACAGGTCAGTGACACCTCAGGCATTACCTAGTCATCAGTTGTAGAGGTGAGTCTCACTTTGGGCCAGTGTGGGAAGTGACTTGACAGAAGCCCCACAGCAGGTAACAGGCAGAGCGGGGATCAGAACCTCGGTCTCCTGCTTCCCAGTCCCTGGCTCTCCCACCCCTCTACCCCTCTGATTCCTCCTCCTTTGACCAACACAATCCTGCTCTTTTCTTTGAGAGGGGGTGGCAGGGTGTCTGTTGGAAAGAAGCAGGAGGGCTCAATGAGGGCCGGTTCCCTAGCCGCCTCGTACATCCTAGGGCTACTGGAGCAAGGAATTGGAAGGAACTGGAATAACTGGGGCAGGGTTGAGCTTTGGGGAAAGGCTCCAACCTTGGTGGGGAAATCCCCATCCTGGAAGCTAAGGAATTCTGTCTGGAGCCAGCCGGACACTCGAACATCTTCACAGCCCTTGGTGGCTAGTCGGGCACACCAGAAGTCCATGCGGAGCCCGCCATACATATCCAGCCCGTAGAAGCGGCCTGATGTTGGGGTCCCTACCTGTGGCACAAGGGACAGGGGAGAGGTGCATGCCCCTTTCCCCCCTACAGACCTCCCTTCCCACTGTCCAGTCCTGCCTGGAGCCTCAGGCCTCCCCACTGCAGGCTGCCCTGCCCAGCTAGGTACCTGGGTACCGATGGACATGCTCTGGGCTATGAGCAAGGGGCTGATGAAGGGTGTTTTGTGGGAGCTGTCACACAGCTGCCGCTGCAGGATGGCCTCTGAGTGGCACTGTTCCAGCTTCAGGGAGCAGAAGTCACAGAGGTCACAGGTGGCTGAGTGTCGCCGCCCAAGGCTATCACAGACCTGGGGCAGGAGTGTGGTTGATAGAATGAGGCTGAGATACTTTGAGCCCCTGCAGAATGTCTTTGTGTTAAGTCTCCTCCCAAGGCTTCTCCGGCTTTCCTCCCCACCCCCTCCCCAAAGGCTCCTCCGGGACCTTTCCTCAGTGCTCTAACTCTTCACCCTCTTCTTCAATGATGTGCCTACTCCCGGCTAACCTTCACTTTCCTGTGGGCCACACCCAAATCTTTATCATCAGTTCCAATCTCTTTCCTGAGCTCCAAATCCTCATCACCAAGTATCTGACAGACGTCCTTAGACTCTGACAAGGACTCATGCCAGTCCCTTTCTCTCACTCTGTTAATGATAATACTAGTATTTACAGAGTCGACATAGTGCTAGGCACCATGGCCACAAATGCTCTCAGCCCAGCTAGCCTTCACCAGAGCCCTGTACTAGCCTAGGCACTAGAAACATCTCCATTTGACTGATGAGGAAACAGGGCTCAGTTGAGGCTGAGTAATCCACTCAGAACAGGAGCCTGATAGACGGTAGAGCTCTCTCCCAGCTAACCCCCAAACCTACACTCTACCCAAGAACCTAAGCCTAAAACCTCCAAGTCCTCAGAAGATGTTCTTCAGAGTGGAGTTACCCATCTCCTAGCTGGGGTCCGTGCCCTGACTGGGCCTCCTCAGCATTCTCAGGTGGGTCTTACTAACCAGCAAGTCCGGTCCACACCATCCTCCCCCTTGGTCACAGCACATGAAATCTCTTATGTCACCTGTTTACTCCTCACATGTAAGAGATCATCATCATGTCCCTGACTCAAAATCGTTATTGGATTAGCTTTTCCTACCAAGTTAAATACAAATACTTCAGACAGCTGATTGAGATTTTTCACCTTGTGATCCTTCCTATCTCTCTGACTCTATCTCCTGCCACCCTGCTCCCAGTAAAATGGGCTTCTGACTGTTCCCTTAACCAAACCCAGATATCCAGGGAGCTCTCCATGACTCCTGAACTTGCTACACTAGGGGGAAAAAAAGTCTCAGGGGCAACTGGGTGGCTCAGTCATGATCCCAGGGTCCTGGATCAAGCCCCATGTTGGGCTTCCTGCTCAGCAGGGAGTCTGCTTCTCCCTCTCCCTCTGGTCCCCCCCCTCTGTCCCCACTCACACCCTCCCACATTCATGCTCTCTTTCTCCCAAATAAATAAAATCTCAAAACAAAACAAACAAAACAAACCCTTGGGATGCCTCGGTGGCTCAGCGGTTGAGTGTTTGCCTTTGGCTCATGGCGTGATCCCAGAGTCCCAGGATCAAGTCCCATATCGGGCTTCCTGCAGGGAGCCGGCTTCTCCCTCTGCCTATGTCTCTGCCTCTCTCTGTGTGTCTCTCATCAATTAACAAATAAAATCTTTTTTTTTTCAACAAATAAAATCTTAAAAAAGAATCTCTCTCCAGTGCCTACCACACACTTCTTTTACAATGCCATTGAATCCTTCATGGCTCTTGGACCCCTTAAGGCCAGGAGCAGTATGTTCATTCTGGGTCCCCTACTATTCCCTCTAGCAGGAATCTCCACCAAGCCCCTTCTTTTGCCTGCTTAACTTCTTTTATTTTCAGGTCTCTGTTCCTTCCCAAACGTGGACCATGGGGTCCCGCATCTGCTGCCTCTAGATTTTGTACTTATCTGTGACTGCAATTACCCATAATACTCTTCTGTCTCATCTGTCTCTCCTACCAGACTCTAAGAAGATTTTACTCATCACCAACATCTCAAGTACCTAGCACAGAGTTGGTATGCTGTACTAAAAAAATCAATTATTTGTTGAGCAAATGGATGAATGGATGGCATGTTCACTCTTAACACATGTTTGCTAACTTGTCTTATCTGGAAACCTATAGACTACCTTCCTGGTAATAGGACTCACTGGGTGCTGAGGGCATATTGAGACTAGGATCTCTCTACAGATTGTTGGAATGGGTTCTGTGACCCCTTTGGAAAGGATCACTGCATCTAAGGCAATGCTAAGTATTGAAGATGGTGAACTAGATCAGGAGATAGCTCAAGCCTAACAGCTTAGAGAAGTGAAGAATGAACTCTGGACTGGAATGGGTTCCAGACTAGGTCTTGAGCCTTCTTCCTTTAAGGTGAACTGGAGATGTCCTTCCAAAGAAGGGATTCTCACTCATTGGAGAGACCAGCCTTTCCCCATACTCTCAAGTCCCAGTATAGTGCCAGGCCCAAAGGATAGCTATCATTGAGCATGTATCCATTAAACAGCATTGCAGTCATACCGGCTTCCCAAAACCAAGGATCTCCTCCTCCACGTACTGCCAGGCCTTGGCTGTGGGGGTTATGGTGCAGGTGTTCTCCACAATCGAATAGCACAGCACCAGCAAAGCCTCTATGTGGGGCATCTGCAGGAGGCTGCAAGAAGACAGCACTGGCTGGTGAGGATGGGCCAGAGGGCTGGGACAGAAAGCCACATCCACTCTTTGCCCCTCCCATTGGTGTCTGGATTTGGTCACACACATTCAGCATGCTGATGGGGCTTTAGAGGCCTCCAAACCAACTGCCTCCTTTTACAAATGAGGAACTGAGGTTCAGAAAGGGGAAGTAATCTTCCCCAAAGCTGCAATGCTAATCTGAGACAGAGACAAGAGCAGAAACCAAGCCTGGTGGCTGCAGGTATAGGGCTCTTGCCACTACATCACAGAGAATGAGCATCTAGGACAGTGCTTAAGCCAGCGAAGGTGACAGAACAGCTGAGGCAGACAGTTGCTAGACACACATGAAGCCCAAGCAGGTCTGAGTGGGTCTGGGAAGCCAAAGCTGGGAAATGGAGCTTCTCCTTCCCATAAAAGGCAGCATCAGGGGTAGGGCTGGTGGTGGCGGGAAGGGAGTCAGGACTGCCTGTACCTGTCACGGGTTGGCTTTTTCCAGACAGGTTCTTCATCATACAGATCATTCATTTCATCCATCTCCTGGGCTGATCGAATGAGCTCCTGGATGTTCTCTATCATCATAGGCGTGGACTCCACTTCCCGCACCCGGGGAGTGAAGGAGAAAGGGTTGGAAGACACAAATTCTGACTGGAACTTGAGCTCTGGGTCTGTCTGCAGCCCTGCCATTGACTCCAGTCCCTCCTCTGCCCCCTGTCCTTCCTCTTGCTTTCCCTCCTCCTCCAGCTCCTCCTCTTGCTCTTCTTGCTCTTGCCCTTCCTCCTGCTTATGTTCTTGCCCTTGTTCTTGCTTGTGCTCTTGTCCTTGTTCCTGCTTGCGCTCTGAACCTTGCTCCTGGCCCCCCAGGGACAAGGACGATTGCAGCAGCTCCTCCACATTGTTGTTAAGCCTCTCAGGCCACGGCTGGAAGGCCTGTCGTTCTGTGGCTGCACAAGGGTTTGGGAAAGGATCAAGAAAGAAAATGGAAAGGAACAGTCAGGCTTCTGCTCCCTGAGCATCTCTGCAGCAAGAGGGACATGCACAGAAACACAAAGGCACAGGAAAGCCGCCCAGACACTGATTCACACAGTCAAGCACAAAAAAGCATGGGGGATTAATACGACCATCAAAATAAAAGAAAAATTGCCAAGGCAATTGTGGTTCTTCTTTCCACCTCCCTTACATGTGCTCCTCTGCCCTAATTCCCACCTCAAATACTACCTGTTGGCCCTCTCACTGAGGAAACCCCCAAGATTCTGAATAGCTAGCAACTGATCGTTCCTAGAGTGAAGATGTTAAGCCAGAGGACTTCCAGATGCCGGAATGTTTTGGGGAGCTGGGAAAAGTGAATTTTTCCTAGCCTTGGAAGTAATGTAGGAAAAATACCCTGAAGCCCCAACTTGTATTCATAAAAAGCAGTCTCCTGCCTTATGTAAATAGCTGCCTGCTGCCAGCCACCCCCACCAACCCTGCTCAACATTCTTCCCCATTCCCTACACTAGTGCCTTAACTCCCGGGCTCTGGGATTTGTGCAATGGCTTGCAGGTAGCCTCCCAGGTACTGGGAGGGTCTCACCTGTGACATGAGATGAGAGGGGGGAGGTCATCGTGGTGGGAGGGACATCGGAGGAAGCATCAATCTCCTTGAGAGTGTTAGGTGAGAGGATTGAGACTGGCTGGGAGCACCGGACCCTCTGCAAGAAGAGAAGGACAGTGGGCATCCCTTTCCCATGGGGCAGACTTTTACTCCAGTGCATGGCTCCGTCCTTTTCTGGCATGTCTCCTCTCTAACAGTTCCTGGGCAGGGATGAAGAGATATGGTCCCTGGTGGAACCCTCTAGACCTGAGAAAGGGTTCCCTTGTGAGATAAGACTCTGGGCCACACCTCTGCCCTCACTCTTGTGTTTGACTTGAAATCACTCGAGAGTTAGAGAAGAAATGGGAGGGCTTGTCCCTTTGCCCCTTCACTTCCCTCTTCCCTGATTTTCTTGTAGTAACAAGGTTGTTCCCGAAGGTCTGAATGCCCAAGGTGAGACTGACTCAGGTTACTCTTATCCCCGCATTGCAGATGACAAAACCAGGGCTTGGAGAGACAATCTAACCCAGGGGGTGGTGGCACCTTGGTAGGAACATTGGCCGGGTAATGGGGCAGGCAGGGATGGAGTGGAGGAGCAAAGTTGGGGCCTACCTCATATGTAATCTCAGTAAACAACTGGCCAAGTGGCAGGCAGGGAGGGAGGATCTCAGGACAGCCTTCCTGGAGCCCATCCTCATTTCCTCACCCCTTCCACCTCTCCCCTGGTCCTGGGACACTGAATCCAACCTTTGTCTGGAGCCTCACCTTGGCGTAGTAGACGTGGTTGGAGCAACGATACTGAGTAAACTGGCAGAAGGATTCAAACCAGGAGGCATAAGGGAGGTCTGAGCACACAGCGCCTGAGAATGGGCAGGGGTGGAGAAGGTGAACAGAGACAAGGGGGCGTCGCCCTTCCTGACCGGGAGGGGCCAGTGGGCTCCTCGGGTCTGCAGAGTGGAGACTCTGGCTTCGGGGTGAGGAGCAGGCCGTCCCCTCTGGTCTCAGGCGAGCACAGGCCCGCCCCCCTAGTCTGGCCCTCACCATCAGGCACCAAGCCGTGATTTTCGTACTGGTCCAGCTGCACGAGGGTGGGGTTCCGGCAGCCGTGCGTTGCACGGAGACGGCAGGTAGTCTCTGCTTTCCAGGTTGGGGTTAGCAGCGCGAAGAAGCGTTCATACTCGGTGGAAGACAGAGGGCTGCCTGGCGTGGAGGCCGAAATTGAATCCTGGGCTGGGGCGGGTGTCAGAAGTAGGAGAAGCACTGCGGGGCCAGGAGACACACGGATGGATGGATGGACCAAACCCCGAAACCCGCTCGGGGCGCTGGACTGACCGACTGGCAAGCGGGGCCCGTGGAAGGCAGGAGCTGGGGGCGTATGCCGGGACCTCGGCTGATGGAGTGACACACTCCGGGGACACAGGCGGAGGTCTGACCCCAGAAGCTAGGGAGCAAACCCAACGCGACCACCCAGGAAGGTGGTTCAGGACTACACAGCAAGGGCTTTGGGAGGCGGAGGACTGAACCCCGGACCAGAGCCGGCTCCGGTCGGCGGGGGCAGCTCACCCTCGAGGAGTGAGAGAAGGAAGCCAGCAGCTAGCTTCCTCATGGCCCCAGTGGATCTGCCCGCGTTTCCCGGACCGAAGCGGCCTCTAACGGGCCAAGCCAGAGAGCCGGCAGCGGGCGCGGGTCGCCCTCGGGGGAGTAGAAGGTGCGGCCCCCACGTCACAAAGGGCGGGGCGGGGCCTCGGGCACTGACGCGCGCTCAGGGTTCAACCCCCCCCCCCCAACCCGGGGCGTAGGGGTCCCGCCTCTCGCAGATCAGAGGGCACGGACTCCGTACCTTCCATGGACTAGGCCCTGCGGTGTTCTGTGTATCAGAAAGGTACTCCCAGAGGTATTCCCAGAAAGGGGTTACTCTTATCCCTGCATTGCAGATGACAAAACCGGGGCCTGGAGAAGCAATCTAACCCACGGGGTGGTGGGGCCTTGGGAACGTGGGCCGGGCCCTGGGGCAGGCAGGGATGGAGCTGAGGAACAAAGTCAGGGCCTACCTGGGTAGGTACTAGAGGGAGCCTCCAGTAAGAAATGAGCCCAAAGGGGAAACAAGCAGGGTTCAGGTGAGGAGGTGCTCAGGTATAAGGATGGTCCAATCTAAGGAAGTGGTTTCCAAGCAGAAGGTGAGCAAGACAATCCATCCAATTTGGAGAGAAATATTTTTGTTTTGTGTTTAAAATAAGAAATCAAGCTAATAGTATGATAGTACATGCAGAAAACACAAATACATGTTTGTTGGAAATTAAGTGAAAGATGTTTTATGGGGAAAAGATGCATGATCTTAAACGTTTGGGAAACCCCTGGTCTGAGGCCCATCCCCTAGTCGGCTCCATCCTTCCCAAGTTGAGAAGTTGTGAATTCTGGTGCAGAGGTACCACGTCTGGTTCCAGGTCTCATTCTACTTTTGGCATGTTACCCTCCCACCTCTAATCCAACCCAGAGGATGCAAAAAAAAAAAAAAAAAAAAAAAAAGTTTAGCACATGTACTAAAATACGGTCTGTACAATAAACACAGCAGGCCAACATGTATAGCTTTTATTCACCTACTCAAATTCCTTTACATGTGAGTTCTGTGCATTCCACCTTGCCCCCTCTCCCATTCACAAGGCCAGGATGAATCCTCTTGGCACAGAGGAAGGGGTGCCCTTCAACTAAGGCCACAGCCCAGATGCTGTGGGAGAGCCCCTACCAGGGACAAAGTGGGAAGAGAACAAAGAGAGTTTATCACACCGTAGCCCACTCCCCCCGCAGGGGGAGGGAGTCAGGAGGGCTGGGGAGCACCCCCATGCTACTGCCCTAGTCCTTAATACAGAGCGAGGGGGGGGTGAAGAGGACCATCCCTTGGAAATACAGCACCAACCTCAGCATGGAGGCAAAAGGACAGTGGGCAAGACCGCTTCCCTCTGAGGGGGGGCAGGCTGAATGAGAGCACAGCCAGTTAGCGGCTGTGGCACCCCTCCCTCCTAAGGTTGGGGTGCAGCCTCAGCACCAGGAGCAGGAGGAGGGGAGGAGAAGAGATGACAGCAGTTGTGCCATCCACCCTCCCCGAGCCCCCAGGCCCCAGCACAGGCTCTCCTCTCCCCACTAGCCCGGGTCCAGGGATGTGGAAGAAACCGTGGGAATCCAAGGTCCCTATCTATTTCTTCTTGCGTTCCTGGGAGCAGCGTGGGCAGAACCTAGAGGGGGACGCGATAGAGAGGCGGGAGGGAGAACGTGAGTGAGAGGGAGTGCCCTCCTCCATGCAGCTCAGGGGCAGCCCGGCGCCTGCCGCAACTCTCTCACTCACCACTTCCCCCGAGGCTTGGTCGTCAGCCCCACACAGGCAAAGTGGAACCACTCAATGGAACACTGAAAAGGAGGAAGATGGAAGAAGCAGAAGTCAGGGGCCCAGATGGAGCAGAGGAAAGAAAAGAAGTATCCTCCACAGATTCTTAGAAGAGTTCCTATATTCCATCCCTTTGGAGAAATCTTGGGAGGTCCCAAGGTCAACCAACTCCACCTTCCTCTTATTCTGGAGTCCCGCTATTCAAGCATTTCTTCCCCTCTCATACCCACACCCTCATGGCCCCCAGAACCCCATCTGGAGGCAAAACAGTTGGTTCTCACATCAGGGTTGTCACAGCCAATCATCTCTCCATAGGAGACCTGGTGACAAAGGCAATAGGTGGGTTCGTTGGGATCCACAGGCATATCCAACACATCAGAGGGGTGGACACTGCCAAAGGTCACTGAGGGCATCCCATACTCAGGACTTCTGCATGCCGAGAGGAAGAGAACGTGTCATCTGCAAAAAGGGAAGCTACAGAGGTGGTAGAAAGACATCCTGGTGGGGCAAGTGATTTGTGCCTTCTCTTCTCTATCCAGCAAAGACTGCAATGATAAGGAGAAGTTGCTGGCACAGAAGATGGAGAGGGTGGCAAGGGGCAGTGTGTGCAGTGTGTGTGTGTGTCTGTGTGTGTGTGTGTGGTAGGGTGCAGGGCAAGGGGAAAAACTAATTTGGCAAAATGCTCCCTTGTACACTCACGTGCGCACAAGCTTTAACTTCTTTTGGGTGGCTTTGGGAGCTTCTTCATCTGAGTTTTTCCCTTTGGAACGAGCACGGGCAGCTTTCTTCTCCTTTTGAGTCCGGCCTTCTAGGAAAGAGGGGGAAAGCCAGGAGGCAGGGAGACAGAAAGATATGGTTAAGTCTTCCTGCTTCCCCCTCCTTCCAAGCTGCTGCCCCTCCCTCTGGGCTGAAGAGCAGTAGCTGCTTCTCCCTTGGAGTCCTGGCCCACCTCTCAAGCCCCGCCCCCCTCCTCACTCTTTTTGCCTTTGCTGGATGAGCTGTCATAGTCACTTGATTCAATCTGCTTCTCCTTTAAATCAGCCTCAAAACGGGCCAGGTCTGTGTCCAGTCGCCGAATGTGTTTATCCACCTAGGGGCAAAGGAAGGAAAAGAAAGAGGTACACAGCTGGTTCCAGAAAAAGAAAATAAGGCTAAGGCATACTCTGCGTCTCTCCCAGACCCAGAACAGATCCCAACACAGCTGAAGGAGGGTTCTAGGACCCCGAGGATTAGACAGGAGGTAGGTGGGGAGCCATGAACAGGGCCATACCATCTCATAGGTCTGCATGGCAAGCTGCACCTTGTCGTCACCAAATTCCTTGCATTTGCCATAGGCTTCCTGGATCTGTTTGAGAAGAGCCAATTTTTCCTCGGAGCTCAGGCTGCGGGCGCTACTCATATACTCAGTGGCCAACTTGTCAATTTCAGCCTTCAGGTCTACAACAGAGACAGAGGCCTGGTCACAAAGGCCCCGGAGTGGCTAGGTGAAACACACTTCTTCCTCTTGTTTCTTGGACCTTTGCCATTGACCATCATCATAACCTTCGAACCAAAACGCCCCGAGAGTTCACAGGTACTGTGCCACTTACTCAAGAAACGCAACACATTGACAGTATTTGTTTTAGAGGTGCCTCCAGGTGCTGAAAACATTGCTATCAGAGTTGGAACTAAAATTCCTGAAAACCACGGAGGGGGTCTCTGCCCGTTGCACTAATCCGAAGGCTATTTTTGTTATGTCTGAGGATGCTTCTTCGCAGGGCTTGCTGCTTCTTGAACCATGAGTCTTGTCTAACAGGCTTCCTGATTTCTTGTCTCAAAAACATTCTGCAACAGCTCTGAGTGTGGCAAAGCTGGCTGGGTCATCTGCTGCTGCTGCTGCCTTCCAGGTCTGTACATCTGTGACTCATCGTTCAAAACTAGGCCCTAGTTCATTTATGTAACAGTTCTTCTACCCTATTTTGCTCATCATCTGCAACCTGCTTGTATTTCCCATCACTTTTTTTTCCTGTTTGTTCATCTTAGATGTTGCTCCAAACATTTTAATAGCAGAAGGCTGGCGACGTCCCCAGACACTGAGGCTGTAGATGTCTACTGCCTCCTATTTGGTAGGACTCATAAAAAAATGTTGATGAAAAGAGGCAAAAGAATGACTATAACAAGGTGCCATGACAGACAACCAGAAGGCTCTGTGTACACACTATATTTGTGTCCCGTTTCATGTGATGCCTTGCGAGGAAGCTGAAAATGCATGTAGTTCAATAACCTCCCCCAACCGGTCTTCCTATGCATGAACTCAAGAGTAGGGACTGTGTAATACAAAGGAAGCAAGCTGGTTCTCAGCATTCAGCAGGCAGTTCTCGGGGGTCTAGACCCAGGATTTTCCATGATGTTCACCTTTTCATGAGTAAACTTACCCAGAGTGGCTGAAATCACAGCTTTAGGTATTCTAACACCAGCCTGTCATATCCTTAAGCATGGCTACATAAGGACGGAAGATAAGACATAGGTCTTATATATAGATATCCTTTAGCAGGTATGGAGGATGGCTCCAAAAGATGATATCTTTGCCCCTGAAGAGACCAATCTGACCACTGTAGTGTAGTCTTAGGCTCTAAGTGAATGCCTCAACGAAGCCAGATATGCTCAACATCCAAGGAAGGCCACAGATGGTATCTAGTGCTTCTATAAGGTTGAAGAATACAGTGTAGAGATCCTGTTGTTAATTGCTACTTTTTCTTCGTTTTTTTCTCTCTCTTTCTTTCTTAAGAGCTTCTCTACCAACATGACTTGTGGTCTACAGCCACACTGAATTTTTTTTTTCCAAACTGAATTTTTTGATAGTAACATTAACAATCCAGTGGGGCAGAAACATCCCAGTCTTCCTATAGATATATTGAATACAGAGAATAGAAATGATTCTAGAGTTGGCTTCTTTTTTAATTCTTCTCGCAGATACAAAGAACATAGCATCCTTGAATTCTTGAGGCATCATCACAATACTCTACTTATTATGGAAATGCTGATCTAGAGGTGCAAATCTTCACTGTTCTCCTTTTAAGAATATAAGAGAGTAAAAAAAAAAAAGGAGCCACAGTTCCCCAGTTCAGACCAGATGATACAGTAACATCAAAGAGAAAAAGAAGTGATCATACAATCTCATTATACACTCAAAATCCCTACTCTATACGTACCCTCTGTTCTTTGGTCCAGGTCCCTCATGAGCTGAA